AGAGAGAGAGAGAGAGAAGAAGAAGAAGAAGAGAGAGAGAGAGAGAGAGAGAGAGGAGGTCAGTTCCTCCGCGCGTGACCTTTCGCACGAGAGGACAGGGAGCCCTGTGCAGCCTCTCCCGTGCCATAACTTTTCGACCACGAACCCGTATCGATGCACACGGAGTAGTGGAATCCTAAAATTCCCTCCTCCTCCTTTATCGCGCGCTTGACGATTCCGTGCGAGTCGCTGGAGCAAGATACGGTGTCTAACGGTGCCAGCACAGGTTCGAGACGCACAAAGAACCGGCTCGGTGAATTATTGCTAATGACGAAAGTTCTGGGGGAAGAAGGATCCACGCGAGTGAAACGAATTCCTCGCGTGATATCCAGCATGAGGGATATCTTCCTCGAGAGTATCACCTAGGGCGATCCCCGTATCGGTTTCCTCGTCCGATTTCCACTCGCACGCGCTTCTTCGCATCCACGTCACCGCAAATGTACAAATTGTCCGGCCGATTTTCGACGCCCGTGCATCTTCCAACTCCTCCACAGCTTCAGAGTGGTTCTCAAAACCGAAGCCTTTTCACATCCCTCCTAACAATATGCTCCCCTCGCTCCCATCTAATGCTAATCATCTCGCGAAATTTTTCCTATCATCTCGATGTATTTTCTCTCTATCTTCTTTCGACGCTTCGTATTATTATTATTATTATTATTTTCCAAATATTATTTTCCAGATCTAAATGTTTCCAGATCGGAAAATAAGAGCAGGAGCGAAGGTTGAACCTGCGCTCGAGGGGTACGGGCCGGCTGAGAGCCACTGCGGTGTGTCTGCGACCCATGACCCTTCGCCCACACGAGGACGCCATGCAACGCGATGCAGCGCGGGCCAGGGGCCAGTGGGAGGGCGTGCGGGCCCGTTGGGGTGCGGGGAGATCCGGGGGATCCTCCTCGGTCACCGGCCAGGCCGATCGCGCACACTGCCTCGCGCAACCTGCAAACTCGTACCAACGGCAAAAATACTCCCTCGCGCAAGACACTCCTGCGTTGGATATCCGACGACGGCTTCACCTACCCTGCGAGCCCGTCTTACGCGCATCCGGTCGGGCTCAAGTCGTTAAGGATGCCAGAGGCGAGGCGTTGAAAGGGGGACACGAAATAAATATGAGAATTTCGCCTCTGGTTTTGCGGTTTCGATTCTTTTCATTGGCACTGAATCGTCGTGGTGGGATAAGAGTAAGAGAGTTTGATTAAAAATGTATTTGATGAGATGTGATAAAAGGTAGAATTTGCCTTTTTTTATTTTTAAATAAAAGATAAAAGAGGTAAGGTAAGAAAAATCTATCGGAATGTTGGTGGGAAAGGATTTGAAATTTTTTTTACAAATTTCTCGATTAAAAGAATAATATAAACGAAAAACTGCAAGGAAGGAACGATTGTTTTTTTTTTTTTTATTTATCGACACTTTTACTTTTCACATCGATGAGTTGTGCTTCGAAGACACGAAAGTGATCGTTTGATTTGCAGAAATTGTCAAGCGAGATAGAATGATTATTGAATGTTAAGGAATAGAACTAGTTACACTCTAATCACCGTTATTACTCGAGTTTCACTATTTATTATTCCTACCAGTTTGTTCTTCTCTATTAAAACGTCCAATTGCTCGAGTGAAAAAGAGAGAGAGAGAAAAAAAAATCGGGTCGTAAATCAAGGCTTTCTATCAGAAGCTTCGAGTTTCTTGGATTGACAGTTCCTAGAAGTAGGATAACGTCTTCGTTCGACTGTTCATCAGGACAACCGATCTGCCAGTACTGACGTCAATAAACCTATTGAAGCCACTTTCACGGAGTGAAACCAAAGAAAAAGTATTTCTCGAGAACCAAACACCTATTACATCTTTTGCCGGCATTCTCTGCAATAATTCGCACTGGAAAAATGAAAACGTGTCTAATGCTCGCGTTTAACGCATTTTACTAGGGAAAGTAGCTGTTTCAAGTTTTCCAAACGGTACCTAAATCGCGTTACGTCACGTATAACACGCGTCGTATATCGTTAATATTTGTAAAAAAATGCATACATCACTACCACATATCTAATATTTTTATCAGCTTTATATAGAAAAAAAAAAAAAAACAGTCCACAAAACTTGAAAAATTAAATTCGATATTTCCAACTTCGTTTATCATCAAAATCGACGATTCTACATCTCCCGCTATATAAATTAATACAAAAATAGTAAAAAAAAAAACAATTTGATTTCGAGTGATATCGCAAAATATCAGTTGGAAGGAGTGTCAAAGCAACCGAAATATAAAAAATATAACGCTGCCCATACCTCTTCCAACCTAACGTATTTCTCTCCTCCGAAGGGAGGAGGAGAACATTCGCGAAGGAACGAAATTGGCTTCGGGTGTGAAATTATTCGTTCCTGCTTTCTCCTGCGTTCGTGCGTTGTACATCAACCGAGTCGTTACCAAAGATAATAATAAACGTTAAATATGAAACAGCCGGCGCACAATGGCCAACCTCTACCTTTTCCTTTGCCCGCCGCCCGATAAGAGCCGGCCGCGACATCGTTGCAACGAGCTGTCCACCGCACGCTCGAACAGTCATCGTTCAATACTTCTACAAAAATTCATACTCCATTCGCGGAGCGAGATAACACACAGGACGAGATGTCGTGGAAACGGGTTGTCGCGGGCCGGGAAAGAAAGAGGCGGAGAGACACTCGCAAGACACAGCCTCGTCTCGAGAGATCATAAACTCGGCAACCTAAGAGCACCTCCGGGACCCGGACACGATTCCAAGGCATTATTTCCACGGCCAGAGACAGTTTCTTGTCGCTCTGTCTTTCCCGTGGCTCACCGCTATTGTTGCCGCGGCTCAGACACGACTCGCACTTTCTATCCGGACCCGTTTTACCCTCCGCGAAACAATCTCTGATTATTTCCGCGAAATTCGAGCCGTCGCGATCGTCGAAAGCCGTGGAGCCAAGTATTCGATCGATGGAAACGATGCTTACTTTGAGAAAATTCCAATTGATGCAGGATTTTATGGTTAACGGAACGTTTATCTCGAATAAAAATATGGTTGATAGGCATTGAACTATTTAAATCAATCTATTTCCAAACTTACTTTTCAATCGGTCAAATTGCGTCCAAAAATGGATAAACGTAATTTCAAATATATACAACGTCAACAAAGTAACACTGTATCGTATAATGTACGATCAGAACGAGTCTCCCTGTTCACTCTTAATCTGCAATAAATCGTCGGTCTCGTTCCGATGTTGCACTACGTATCCACGTCTATAGTCACGTCGAGGGTTATGGGGTGTCGAGTTATGGAATATAGGGGGCCACCGCTGGCACGAGAGACCGGTATGAGTTACGACTGACCCCATAAATCGCGGCCAGGTCACTGGGTAA